AAACAGGAAGGAAGATGAAGGCCATTGAAAGCATCTGTCATCAATCCTGGGCGCAGACCTGGACTCAGAGCACAGGGTGGGCTCTGTAGCCTGGGCTGTGGTGGGCAGTGTGAGAACACAGCTGAGTCTGAGTCAGGGGGCCGCAGCTTCAAAATGTGCTCCGTAAGCCTGAAGGAAGAAACCTGGGGCAGACAGAGAAAAATCCAGATCCCTAGTCCTGGGGAGTTGGAAAGAAAAGCTGTCCTCTGTTTGGGATGGAAAATAAAAGCAAACTAGTCAGCAATAATGTGGAGTCCCTGAGGAGAACCGGATCTAGACCTTGACCTGACATTCCAAGCCCCACGATCTGCCCTTTAGTGGCCAGGATCCAGCACCTGCCTCCTGGGCTGGAGTGGGCCTGCTAGGGACAGAACAAACCTGACCCCCCAGCGTGACAGTGTCCGAAGATGGGCCTAGGGGAGCTCTTGCGGTTCAGATGAGGGGATTAGTACCCTGAGAAGAAAAAACCCGAAAGCTTGCTTTCTCTCCGCACCATGTGAGCATGCAGAGACCCCTCACCAGGAACCAATTGACCGGCACCTCCATCTGGAACTCCCAGCCTCCAGAAATGTGAGAAGTAAGTGTCTCATAGTTTAAGCCCCCAGTCTATAGTATTTTGCCATCAGCCAGAGCTGACAAAGGGTGGCAGGTGTCTGCAGTGGGGCTTTGCTAATCCCTCAAGTCACCGAAACGCCTCCTGCTCCAGGGAATCTTACCACACTTCACCAGATGGCACTTCTCTCCTTTCTACAGTTCTCTGTGCCTCAACCAGGACACTTAATGTGGCCCTGGTCTTCCTCGAAACACTGACAGTTATGAGTTCATCTGATCCGGTTTAACTTCTCCCAACTCGGCCCGATAAATCCACTACCTGAACCAATCCCAAGCGAGGCAGGAGACCCCCCCCCAGTTGTTCCCACAGGGCATCTGACTTACTGTGCATGCCAACTGCAGGGCAGCTTCCTGGCTCATCCGGTTCCTATCCCTTCTCTTCCCTTGGCCCTCCCTCCCCAGTCGGCGGATTCTCATAGCGTGATTACTATACTTGGGTCTCTAAGACTAGTTCTGCCACATGGCTGCCTCTTATCCATCAGGTTGCCAGATAAAATAAGACGACAGTCTTCTAGTGTAACTATGTCCTGTGCAATATTTGGGACACACTTATGCTAAAAAAAATGACTTACTGTTTATCTGGACATTTAAATTTAGCTAAACACTCTCTATTTTAAAAATTTTTTTATTTGTTCTTTTTGTTATCCATGACAGTAGAAACCATTTTAATATAGTACACGCTTGGAATATATCTTATTCTAATTAGGATCCAGTCTTGTGGATGTACATGTGGTGAGGTTCACTGTGGTGTATTCTGTCACGAGCCATCCATGGGCTGTGTGGACTATGTGCTCATGGTAGCCTAATGAGGGGAACGTCCCGTGGCACCCCCACAGGGACTGACCACCTGATGCAGGTGAACTCCCCCCTCAAGCTCTGCCAGAGATCCCACACAGCACCTGAGATGGGTGAAGCAAGACTCTGCCCTTAAAACCTTATCCCTGCCTTTGATGTTCCTGATACAAATAAAGCAACTGTGGGCTCCATTTTGCTTTTATCAGCAAGGAAGCTCGATCCCTAAGATTGGCCAGCCCATCCTGCCCCCCGCTTTCTAAAAATGTTTTCTGTATCCTATGGTTCTTTTGCCGTTCTATTTTTCTTAGCTTTTATTTCGCAGTCAGCCCATTCCAACAAGGGGGACTGCATTTCCGTCATCGGCATGAACATGGGAGAGAGTATTTATATGTGTACATTGTTCATTCTAGTGTCTTTCCTTTTCGTATCCCCCTTCCTTCCCTCCATTCCCCGTTGTCTAATCCACTGAACTTCTATTCTTCCCTCCCCCTTATTTTGGATTAGTTTCCACATATCAGAGAGAACATTCAACCTTTGGCTTTTGGGGATTGGCTTATTTCACTTAGCATGATATTTCCAGGTCCATCCAATACTGGCCAATGTTATAAAGTCATTCTTCTTTATGGCTGAATAATATTCCACTGTGTACATACACCACACTTTATTCATCTGTTGAAGGGCACCTGGGTTGGTTCCATAGCATAGCTATTGTGAATTGAGCTGCTATAAATACTCATGTGGCTGTGTCGCTGTAGCATGCTGATTTTAACTCCTTTGGGTATAAACTGAGGAGTGGGATACCTGGGGCACATGGTGGTTCCATTCCTAGTGTTTTGAGGAATCTCCATACCGCTTTGCAGAGTGGTTATACTGATTTGCAGTCCCACCAACAACATTCTTTATTTCTGTTTATCAACTCTCCCAGCACCACGTGATTAGATGACATACCTAACACTGATGCATCCTGCCTTGGGGACCAGAGCCCTGTGCCTGAGACCCAAAGCCTCGGCCTCAACCCAGGGCCTTGCTTTCACATGGCTCTGCTTGTCTGGCAGGATTCCCCAGAACTACTCCTCTGCCCTCCATTCAGGACCTCTGCTGGCAGCTCAGCCTGGAGCTTGTCCAGCCCAGTGGACAGGTCTGTTGCCAGCCTGCCCCCAGCTGAGTAGCCTCTTGGTTCCCATAAACCCCATGACTTGCTGATGATCCCAGGCTTTGACTGGAATGTCCAGCTATTTCCCACTGGACTGTGACCCCAAGGGGCAGGAGGACTTTCCTCAATGATGCCATGATGTTCTACATATCACGGGTACTTAATAAATGACAGTTAACCTCAGACGGAAATACACAGACGATTGAACTGGGAAAGAGGTTGTAAAAATAGGGGCAGGATAATGAGAAAGCAGACAAAAGAGGCCAGGTAATATTTTGAGTCAATAGAAAAGAGTGAGTATGAGATGGTGCAACTGGAACTAACTTCCTCTTTGTATGTTTTGATCCCAAACTTTCTCCAAAAGGAGTTTTTTAAAAATTATTTATCTTTAAAAGTCTAATTATCTGGACCCAGTGGCACATGCCTGTAATTCCAGCTACTGGGGAGGCTGAGGCAGGAGGATCATAAGTTTGAGTCCAGTCTCAGCAACTTAGTGAGACCCTGTCTCAAAATAAAATAAGTAGGGCTGGGAATGTAGCTCAGTGGTGAACACTTGCTAGCATGTGTGAGGCCCAGGGTTCAATCCTCAGTACTACAATAAAAATATAAATAAATGAAAGTCTGATTACAGGTACAGGAATACTCTGGGGCAGAAGTTGGAAAGAAGTAAAGACCACAAGCCCCTCAGAAGTCCTCAGAAGTGACCAAGGTTTATAGTAATGGAGGCTGGCCCAGAGTACTGCCTTGGCATTGTCCAGAGCCATGTATTCACTCTTTTTCCTGAACCTCAGTCCTTTATATAGTACATTCTTATGAGGTATTTTGGTCACAGTGACAAAAATCTAACACCATTTATACTCCCGTAGAGATTCCATTTTTAAGGATGTCTTGTGTTGAATATTTACCATGCATTGAACACCAGGCTAAGTTTTCAAGGAATTACGTAATGTAACTTTACATCCTCCTTATGAGATAGTTATTGCATTTCCCCACATACAAGTAAGGAAATGGGGGCTTAAAGGAAGATAATCTACACAGCCCCCGATGGCACTGGAGACAGGATTCAGCCCATTCCAAAGTCTATTTCTTGACGATTATGCAATGGCTACAGGCAGCAGATCTGGAGGTGCTGATGCAGGGAAGCATCAGGCTGCCTGTGGCCACAGACAGTGTGTTGACAGCCTTCTCTGCCTTAGACCTGGGGCCAAACTTGGCCCACTGCCTGGGTGAGCTTGACCATGCCAAGTGGTTTACATGTTGTCTATGGCTGCTGCTGCTATGATAGAAACTGTATGGCCCACTCAGCAGAAATTGTTGATGATACAACCCTCTACAGAACATGTTTTCCAACCCTTATGTCAGGCCACTGAAGCCTTCTGCTAATTGCTCTAGAAAGGAGGGATTAGAGCAGTAGTCCCCTAATTTGGGCAAAAACCACTATATATATATTCTATCATTTCATAAAAGACAAGATTTTAATACTTAAGTATAAGGGGATATAATTACCAATAGTACTTTGGATGAAATAAATTTAAATGTATGAAAAACTTTGATACTATTTGTATAGATGACTCCATAGCACCTGTTAGTCCTCCAAACCTGTGTATCTATCATTCATTCATGCACTCACTCTGTCAGACCATATGATTTATTGAGCACCTACTATGAGCCAGGTACCATGCCCATACTAAGGGCATGATGAATCATTTCCCTCTATTTCTTTTACCATCTGTCTTTCCTTTGGTTGTTTGGATTGAAATTTAAAAAAAAAAACCTTTTATAACAATTCAATTAACCACTTTATTGTTATGACAGCCTGATGGTATACTACTGGGGAAAATGATCCATTTGAAAATATCACAACACAATAATATGGGGTCTCTCTCTTTCTCTTTTAGTGTATATAATGACTCAAGAAACTTAGGGCAGGAAGATATTTTTCAAGCCACAGAAACTGTCCATTCCAGATCTCTGAGGGTAACTGTTCACACATATATCTTTCCATTTTGAAGTTCTCCAATATAAAAGCTCCACCTCCCAATAATTTCTCAAATCCCTTAATACCATGTTGCTAGAAACTATTCTTCTATGATAGTGAATGTATCCCCAACAAAGCAGTCAAGTCATTTAAAAATTATAAGCAAAAGTTAATTATACAAAGTGACTATCCAGGTACTTCAAAAGTTAATTATAAAGTGACTATCCAGGTACATTCTTGAACAAATAAGAACGTTCGAATTGTTGCATTACATATAAACTATGTAACATGTCTTTGCTTAAATATTTCTGATTCAGAATTATTCCTTTTAAAAAAAAACTATCACATTGATAAGACAAATACAAGGAATGTTCCAATTACTCCACTGATCATTGGATATTTAAAAAATTTAATGATACTTACTGTGTATTCTGATTCCAGATATTCATTTGAAGAAAAGGGAAAAGAAAAAAAAAAGATAAGAATGATTTAGACCATATTTATGTGTAACATACACCACAGAACTAACAAATACAGAGTTATAATTATAATTATTAAAAATGAACTATAATTATTAAAAATGTAGTAAAGAAACCTTCCCCAAATTAGATTTTCATAAATACAAATGTCTCCATTTCTGTTCTGAAACTATTTTAATAGGTTGTGGCTGGGCAGATAAGAACAGGAAGACAAGATTCAATTAGCCTATAGGTTTGTGGCTAATTAAAAACCCAAGTGTTGGCATTCTACAAGCAGAATTAAAGACTAATAATTCTAGTAAAGCATTTCATTAACCACAAAGGAAATCTTCTAAGTGGAAAAGTAGCTTTTATAACCAGTACAAAGAGCTTGTTATAAGAATGTGCAAAAGGCATCTTGGAATTTGGTGTATTCAAGAACAGGAACCAAACCTAGATTTTTTTGGGGGGGGGGGCATGGTTTCTGGTTCAGTATTCAGTACAGAGAGTTTATAAGCACTTCTCTAGGAGGAAAGTGATCTTAAAAGGTTTTCATATTTTATTCCAATAACAAAGGGAGTCACTGGGAGCAGAAAGACTCAATAGAAATTTTACACAAATTATAATCAATTGGGGTGGGGCTGTAATTCAAACAAGCCCAAATAAACCACTTTAGAGATGAATCACAGGGAGAAATAGGAATAATAAAACCTCAAGAGACTAGGACTAGGTCTTCACCTCCCTTGTCGATGGCTGTTTATTACAGTCACTCCCGGGAGGAAGATGGAATGGCTTAGCCGAACCCCGCCCCCCTGCCAGCCCTGTATGGATTATCGGTTCTAACTCAGTGAAATTCCACTACCGCTGTGTCCTGGCATTTACCACATGTGGCATACTGCTTGTGCTAAGGACTTACCTGTAATTGTGTAGGGATAATAGTTCCAAGCCTTCTCTGTCACATAAAATATTTTTGGGACGACAGCTCTAGCCCAACTTGGCAGTTTGCTAAGAGGAAAGGAAAAAAAAAAAAAGATATTAGAGCCTGTTCAGAACCTGGCCACGTTACTGATCTTTCTGGATAAATTGCTAGAGAAATCAGGGCTTCTCAAGCATCTCTTCTCTCTATGCCCTTCACTTCCCTATCCCTGCACTTTTATCTGTGGCTGAGCATTTCCTGTGCATACTCATGTTCTCTCAAAATGCATAAAGGCAGGAGGCTATAGCCTCATTTGGAGGAGGGAGGCTCCTAGGGCTGTAAACCCGGCTTCTTTGATTGGAGAGTTTGAAGCCTGGGAGGTGCCACGTTTGGAGAAGTCAGCCAACCCGGCCTTGGTCTCTCAGGGTGCTGTGGAGGAAGTGGTCTACGGGGATGTTTAAGCCCAAAGTGGGGGAAACAGAGGCCAGCTTCAACCCAGCAACCTGTATGAGTGGCCTTTCAAAAATGGGCAAAAGCAATAGAGGCGAGAAACTTGGAGACATGAAGAAAAACAAAACATCACCGCTTGATGGCTATAGTTGGTTGAATGGTGTCCCTCAGAATGATGCAGTAAACTCGTACTGTGACCATGATCTCATATAAAAGCAGGGTCTTTGCAGATGTAATTAAGTTAAGGATCTCAAGATGAAATCAATTTACATTGGGTTAGTCAAACTCTAATTACTAGAATCCTTATAGGAGAAAGAAGGAGGAAATTTGAGACTCCGACACCCAGAGGGGAAGGCCATGTGAAGATGGCAGCAGAAAGCAGAGTGGGGCAGCTGCAGGCCGAGGGACGTCAAGGACTGCTGCAGACAGCAGAAACCGGCCGAGGGCATGGAACAGATGCCCTGCAGAGTCCCCAAGCACTCCAACACTTCCATCACCTTGATTACAGACTTCTGGCCCCCAGAACTCTGAGAGGATAAATTTATGTTGTTTTAAGCCACTTCGTTTGTGGAAATTTGTTGTGTCAGCACCAGGAAATTAATCCAACGACAGAGTCATTCATTTGGAGCAAGGGCCTGGACAGTCACTTGCAAAAACACATCCTCAAAAGGCACAAAGTCCTAAGGTCTTTTGTAAACGCAAGACTAATTAACTTCTGTTGTGTTTCCCTTGAGGGGCAAGCCCTACAGTGTAGCACAGGGCCAGAGAATTCCTCAAACATCCTTATAATATTTAAGAAACTTCTAAGGCAATCTAGTTTTTAAACTAATCTACATGATTTTATCCTCCTCCCCGCACAGCAACATATCCAGGATTTTTCTGCTTCTTTCCTGTTCCAGTGCCTACAGCAATGTCTGGGATGCTAACATCTCACAGTGGATCAGACCTAGGGAGATGATGCTCAGCCCCTTAGGGCTGCGTGTTGGCAGTAAAGAGCATCAAGAAGCAGTTCTGAATTCCAAGCTGATAAAACCAGGAAAGAGAGGACATCAAACCCGTCGAGCCCCAAATCCCAAACCCCTCTTGGATGTGAAACCTAAATGACAACAAGGGCCTGTCAAATACTGTGTACCTTGTGTGTCTTCTCAAATTGTTTCTCTTATTTTCTGACAGTAGCCAGGCCCAGCTTTTGAAAAGACAAATGTGTATTTTTCAATGGTTGGCTGGACCTAACTCAAAACTCTGGGCTGTTGATCAGGGTTGAAACAGATGGGTGAGTGTCAGCCCACAGCCCTGGGTCTCAGGTGGGCTGCAAGAGACAACAAAGCTGCTTTAAAATCCACCTGACACTTCTTGCTTCTCTAATGCAGAATTTCTCACTCCCATAAAATCGTCTCCACAGTAACTGCTCATTTACCTTATATTCTGCTTCTCAAAGGATGGGCTGCTCCCCGGCAGGGGTTTTTATAGCTTTTGCTGATGACTGATTCCATCAGTGACTTTGGAGGGCAACTGAGGTTGACATCGAGTGGGAAAATCCCACAGGCTTGCTTGCAGGAAAGAGTCTTGAGCAAGACTTCCCCTGGGTCCTTTCTGTTTGTACCCACACCCCAGAGTGATGCGCCAATGAATGTGTAGGGAGATGCAGATTCGAGTCTTGGGCACATATGCTTTTAGGCTTTTAAAGGACTGAAACAGGGTTGGAGATTCTTCTCAAAGTAAGCAAGCCATTTTTTAGCTTAGATGAAGTGCATATGTCTCTTTCAAGCCCAGAGCCTGCTCCCACAATTCTCTTGTGCAGAGAGGTTCCATCTCTGCTTCACGTCTCCTCAAATGCACTAGGCTCCTCCTGTGTAGCACTCTGGGGGCATAGGTGCCTTCTCCCTCCATAATTCATTCTCTCTAGCATTTAAAAAGCCTCCCAACAGAACCACTTTCCTAAGTAACAGTCATTTTCTGGGAGGAAGATGAAATCAATGACAATTTTCCATTCACACTGAGACCCCCCTTTCCTATTTGCAAACAGTCATGACTCCAGAATCTAGAAACTTCATTTTAGCTGTGCATCCACCAACTCATGCAGGATAGGCCAAACTACTGTCAATCACCTTTTCCAGTGAGATGCCCTAAAAAACACAAGTATCCAGCCAAGATGGCTGCTAGGATTTTGTATGTCTGGAGAGGAAACCCTTCTGGTATAAGACATTTACTGGGTCAAGTACAGCAGGTTGGGACCACTTGTTTGCAACAAGTTCTGTGATGTTTGCTATAGTTTGTATGTTAAATGGTCCCCGGAGGACCATGTGTTAAAGGCTTGGTCCCTAGGGTGGTGCTATTGGGAGGTGATTGGACATTTTGGAGGGTCATTAGGGACATGTCTTTCAAAAGGGATTTGGGTACCCCGGCTATTTCCTCTTCCTCTTTTGCTTCCTGGCCATGAGGTGAGTAGCTTGCTCTGCCATGAGCTCCCCTTTCCCATATTGTCACATGAAACTTCCAACAGAGGCCTAAAAGCAATAGGTCTGCCTGATCATGAACTAGCAGTAACACTGTAAGCCTTTAACGCTGTAAGCCAAAATAAACCTGAACGTTTTATAAGTTCATTGTCTCAGGTATTTGTTATAGTGACAAAAAGCTGACTAACACAATGCTATTTCAGTATTTCTAAGCCCACTAACAGACCTCCTTTCCGTCCCCCTTCCCGCAGAACACATCATTATTTGAATCATTTATGTCTGAGAAAGTAAAACTTATTTTCCCCTGCAGCAGTGATTTATGAGGACCTGCAAAGGAAAATGGAATTAAATTAGTTCCCACTGTTGCTGTCACTTTCACAATGTACACTGTCAATTCTAAGAAAAAGCCTGTCATTCATACTCACTACCAGGTGTCAAACAAAAGCCTCTCTTCTAGAAAGACGGCAAATTTGAGTCAAGTCCTTAATCCATGCTCAGGCCAGGACCAAATTTCCCAATGGGCCACCTCTCCAACACTCGGGACTTAGAGACGTTTAAATTCTAAAGCTTTTCTAGAATCTGAACACATGCTACTGTGACAAGATATTCAACTGCTTCATATTCCCCTAAGATGGCTCTGTCAATGCCTCTCAGACAGACTTCAAAGTGTTTGGTTTTCTTACTTTCTTTAGTATGAAAGAGAACATAATCCAGCCAGGTGGCCAACTCATCCTGGCTTACCTGGGACTTTCCTGGGTTCAGCCCCGAAATTCCCATGTGCCAGAAGATCACTCAGTCCCAAGCAAATTGGGACACTTAGTCACCCTAGAGTCCTGGTTCTTAATAGTGGGTATTTTTGTCTCCCCCCATGATAACCATAACAAATAGTTATCAGGCTCCAAATTCAACAGAAGCAAGACTGAGGAACCTGGTCCACTGTTTCTCCTCTCACGTAGTCCCAAGGTTCCCTATATCACAACTGACCAGACGAGAAGGCCTGGGGGAGGTGGGTTCTGAACTGGCCTCAGGTTGAGGGTGTTTAGCTGCTTCTCAGACCTTCTGGGAATAAAGTATAAAGGTCCATCAGAAGCTTCTGGTGTTTACAATCTAGAGTGTCTCAAAGTTTCCCCTCGGATCTAATCTCACATTGCAGTATATGCTCACTTGGGACCTGATCCAGGAGGTAGTGAACATCATTAGGCTAAACGTGGTCTAAATGGAATCTAATTTCATTTTCTCAACAGGAGTCAGAATTGTGACAGTCTTAACTGGCAATCTGAAACTTAAACATTCCCAGCAGAAAAGTCGGACCAGGGATTTTCTCCTAAACAGACACCTAAACCTAAATCTTGTCTCTTCCTGCACTGAGATTATGTTCAAATGACAGGAGTTCATTTTAAATGGGACCCCACTACCCTGTATCCTCATTTCCCTCTGATCCAGGAGGAATATTCTGACCTTTCATTTCTTCTTTGTGATGAAATTTGACATTTGACAATGATTTGATAACCATCGATGGCCCTTATCCAGGTGTACGAACAGTGATTTCTGAGGTCTCTGAATTTCTTCTTCAGCTATTCGAATTCATTCACTTACTCTTCTAGATGATCGTTCTGGCTGGTCTTTCACTTGTGCTCTTAATGTAATTGTTTACATAGCAATAAGGAGATGAGCAGAGTTTCCGGACCACAGCTATCACCTGCAGGAGGCTGAGCTGCTGTGCTTCATCCACAGGAACTGCCCAGGAACAAAGTTCCTTGCACTTGGACACAGACCCCACCAACTTAAACTCTGGGTTAGGTTTGGGGAAAGGGGGCCTGTGTTATGCAGATTCTTTGAAGGCTCTGCTTGAATGGCACTAGGGTAATGTGGTCAGCGGGCTGGGGAGCTCCCAGGAAACAGTCACTCATGTCAACATCATCTTTCAGGGGTGAGGCAGAGCCAAGGTGGGAAATGCTTAGCTGGGTGCCCTCTAAGATCCCAATCAGGCCCAAACTTTCCATCTCTATAACTTCCTGTGAGAGTACTTGAAGAAGCAGAGGAAGAGGAGGCCTGGCACCAGAAAAACTTCTGGAGTGTTCTTAAGTATTGAGATGGTAACAGAACAGAATAGCTTGGACTGAGAGGTATGAAAGGAGGAAGCCCTTCACACACTCTAGTACTTCCATAGCACTCTCACCTTC